TCAGAAATACAGATCCAAGTCTCCTCTCTGGTCCTCCACTCTAGCCAATGATTCACATTAGCTGAACTCTGCTGGGAACCAGATGCAAAGGATCTCAAATGTGCAACCTGCAAAGGCCAGTCTGTTGTGGCCACATGCAATATATAGAGAACCAGGGGGCACAAAGTGAGAATGTGCAAGCTAGGAAAGGGATGGGCTGGGCACCTGGCAAGTGGGGACTGAACGTGAAACTCAACCGGAATTACTAGGAAGTTCTAGCCAAAAGAAAAGTTAAAGGGTAACCAGACCTCGTGAATGTATTGGTTTGAACTGCAAAGTGGGGATAAATAATTTGAGCCTCGAGAAAACTGGCAACTTGACTTGGAAACACTGTCAATTTTTTGAAAATGAGAAAGCTGTGGGATCCAAGGAGCAGCAAACCCCAAATCCAGAGCTAAGAACCTGTGATTTCATACATCTTAAGCACATGCACCCTGTGACTTCTAGTTGTAAATGGAAACATTTCTGATTTTATTCTAAAGAAGTGACCTTGTTAAAATTAGAATCCCTTTATCCCTCGCCTTCACTGAACTGGAAGATTTCAATGTTGATGTGTGCAGGTGGGATAAATTCTCCCTCATGTCAGTTAACTGATTTTGTTTCTGGATTTTAAAGCTTTTATTAATTTTAAGGCACTAGTTGCCCTGTTGTCTTTTCCTCAAGATCAAGGACAACAGGGCTAATGGCATGTGAAACACTGTTACAAACCAAGTTGTACAACTAGTTTTACAGTTCAAGTTTCTTGCTTATGGACAGAGAAATTTCCAAAATGTTCTTGGAACACAAACAAAGCCCAGGTTACATGCTACAAATCTGTCAACCTCAGAAGGGAAGATAGGCTACTTCACCAGTCAGCTGACTATACCTGGAAATGGAAATAGAAAATGCACCTGAAATGAGAAAGTGGGTGTGTTGTCAAGGTGTGGTTAGAAAATCCATGATGCGTGCTTTGGAAACTGGCCATCTTTCAGCAATCTCTCTTGGCTCTGGATAAGAAATCTGCCCTTGGGTGAGGGAAGTTCTGAAAGATCTTTACTCTATTCCAGTGGGAAAGAGCTGCTGGTTTGCAAGAAAGCCACATTGGATAAGGTAACTCTAAGTAGTATTTAACACTGTAAGAAAACCTAGGGTACTTGATTAAAGTATTATTTAACACTGTAAGATGACTAATTTTTTAAAATACTTATGTTCCACACATTTTATATTTATTGTGAAATTTAATCATTACAATCACTCTTCCAGCTGGATATTTCACAGATCAGGAAGCTGGGGCCGAGGTTAAATGACTTGCTCAAGACCACACAGTTGGCAGTTTAGCTATCATAGGCACAACTAATGCCCTTTCCACTCTACGAAGCACTGTGCTTCTCTGGAAGACTTTTATTTTGTAATTTTGGAAGAGATTAGGTACTTTTTCTCTGCAGTAATCACAGAACATGTTAGAAATGCAAATATGGCTTAGTCATTTACAAAAACAACAGGATGTTTGTACTGAAACTGCAGTGGCATTTGCTGAAAAATGCTTAAGAATTACAACTTTGCATATTGCTGTCATGTTTTTTTTTTAATTTGGAAAAAAAAAAAAAAAGATGGAATTGCTTTTCCCAGAGTAACAAATCACATTTTTTGAAAAGGTTTGGGTGGTTCTTGAACTCCCTAAGAATATCAAATCACCCACAAACCTTGTTATAAATACAGATGCCTGTTCTCCCCCAGACTCCTGAGAAAATTCCATAGCCTAAGGCAGGTAAAATCAAACCTGAATCACAGTAACTGGGAGAGAATTTTTAAAATTCAGTTCCCTAGTTTTTCTCTGGTCCCAACTAATCAGAAAGTCTTTTTTGTATTTAAAGTTACCCTGCAGCCAGATATGGTGGTACACACTTGGTATCCCAGAAGCACTGGGGAAGCTGAGGCAGGAAAATTATTTCAGCCCGGGCTATAGAGCAACTCTGTCTCAAAAACAAAAATAAATAAATAAATAAACAAAACAAAAAAGCTGCCCTGGTAATTTTGATCAATGGTTGCTACAGGACCCTGGTATGGGTGTTAGCTGGAATGAACTCTGGGTGAGTTGTAGGCTACACCAACATTCTCTGAGATGCTATTTTTAGTTGGAGCTTTATTATGACCAGATTCAACTAAGCTGTACTGTGAAGAATCTGAGCTCCAAGAAGAATAAATATATCTGACAAGTCTTTACTTTTCTCCACAGATACCCCATTTCTCTGCAGAACTTGCACTTGCTGTGTTAGCCAGTAAATAAATAAGTAAATAAATGAATAAAACAAACCCATTTGTAGAAAGGTCAGTGCTGGAACTGATGTCAGGTTGGAAAATGAGAATGGACCCTATCTCCACCACATTGCACTAACTTAGTATTATTATGGTGCTATGCCTGCCAGGTGTAATCACACATACATAACCACACGTATGCATCACCACTTTTAGTTTCAAGCAGTACTTTCCTGAGTTTCTCCCACTACTTGAACTGTGATTCCTGAGGACGGACTCTGTAGACCTGGGGTTCTCCTACTTTGTGTATCAGAATCTCATTAAAGCTCTTTGACTCAGAAGGTCTGAGGTGAAGTTCAAAATTAGCATTTTTGAGTTCCCATTAAGATGTCTATGGTGACTGGTCTGAAGATCACTTTCAGAATGACGGAAAAATGAAAAACGAACACTGTGTAACACTGCTATGGTCTCTGTTCTTAAAGACAGTGAAGTTACAGGGTTTTTTCCTTGATTTCATTTATAAAAGATATGCAGTAGGTCAGTTCATTAAAGCATAAAATTTGTTTATATATGACTTGGTGTGCTTTGGCTAGGAACAACTTTTTGTTGGGCATTCTCCAACATATTGTATAGTGAACTGAGAGCATGCATGGCCCCTCAGCTGGCCCTGAGCTACTTCCCCAGTCTCACCTTTTTTTAGCCACCTCATCTTTCAGCACCAAAGAAGGACTTCCTCACTATTTACACTTCTCAACCTCTACACACACTCCTCCAGGGTAGGGATGCCTCCATATGCCACTGGTCCTTTGATCAGACATAAAACTACGAATCCAAGGACCTATGCTTGCTCTTTCCTGAAAAATCCTTAAGGGAAGGCAGTGGGTCATACTCAAGTCTTGGCCACTGAGGTTGCAGTTTGATAGTAAAGATAACTAATATGAAATATAGTGCTCAAGGCACAATAGACACTGTTTGCTGAATAGATGTTGTTTTACAAATGAAAAGTAAATCATTTAGTACTATCAAAGAACTGATAGTTCAGAAATATTTGTATCCCTTTAATTAATTAGTTCTAGCCCCCAACCACCTGTACCAAATCTTCAGATGTTTAAGCTCTTTACATAAAATGATGTAGTATTTGCACATTACTTTATACATTGGCCTGGCTATTTGAAATCACCTCTCATTACTTACAATACTTAGTTTGACGTAAATGCAGTATTAATAGTCATGTATCATATAACATTTCTGTCAGTCAATGATGTACCACAATATGTATATTAGAGGCCAGGCAAATAATAAATATTTAGGATTGTCTAAGCATGCTCTCAGGTTCATAAAAAAATCACTTAAAGACATATTTCTTTGCATATATTGTTAAATGATCCAAGACTACAGATATATGTATTATTTAGGAAATAATGAACAAAAAAGTCTTACGCTCAATACAGATACACTGTACTTTGAATATTTTTGGTCCACTGTCGGTTGAACCCATGGATACATATATGGAGGACTATCTAAAGTTATACAGAATAAGGTCATGAGCTACAGCTAGACTGAGTTCTGCCACTATAAGTGTGATGTAGGGTCAGTTATCAACCGCTGTCAACACCAGATACATTTATAAAATAGGAGTAGAAGAAATGCTTTCAACAGAAGGGTGTTGAAGAGCATTAATAGGGTATTACATGTAAAATGTTTGGAGTAATGCCTGATGCAGAGTAAACGCTCAGCAAATGCTAACTACTGTTTACATGTAAAGGTACAAGGCTCTTACTGATGAAATAAAACACTCTTCCTGGATGACATGAAACAGAATTAGTATTTAACTGCATGCTTAGGCACAGATGTTATTTTAAGGCAGATACATAATACTCAGCTGAGCCATGTATTATCTTAATATGTCAAAGACATACTGGCATTTTTATACAGTTCGATCCAACACTGTAGTTTCACCTTCCCCTAAAAAGTTATACAACAGCGAAAAAGAATTAGGTTTTATACTGAACAGAAAACAATAAAGTAATTCTGCCACCAAGCCACCTCTGAAAGACACCTAATTCAACCTCAGAGAATCTTAACATGAACACTAGATTGAATGTTTAGTAAAAAAACAAAAAAACTTTAAATATTTTAAAGAGAACAACTAAAAACATGTATATATTTTAATGAATTTAGAAATGCCTTGATCAACTTTTTCCTTTTCATATAAAATTATAGGTCTTGTAGTTTAATCTCTGACCAAACATACACAAACACAACCTTATTCCTCTGATTTAAGGCCCACAGTGAAGACATTAAACTCATACCACTTTGATTTTTTTCTAAGTAAATGCATTTTAATCATCAGTTTACAGAGAAGCATATCAAACAATGTTATTCAAATTTTTCTGTAAGAAAAAAGTAATTAACAGCTATGCACAACTATGATTTCAAGGATGATTTGTTGAGGAATCTGAAAGTCAGCAGAGATGCAGGCTAACAAGGAAGCACCATAATAAAAGAATCTCATTCCAAACACAAAGTGTTCACTCTATTTGTATGCTTTTACTAAAATGCTGTGAGCAACCAAGACGTAAATAAAATTATGATACAAGAACAAAAGAGGACACCTAAAAAGACAGTAAGAGTTTTAAAGATTTCTTCCTGTGATTCTAACCATATTATCTCATGGACAAATTTCATAACATAAAAACAACATAAAAATACAATAAATACTATAATGGAAATATAGAGATTAATTTATTACTTTTTGGTTTACAAACAAAGGCACCCGAAAATGCTTCTATTTACTGCTTATAAAAGAGTATTAGGTTACATTAAAGAAAAATTTTAAATCTGAAATAAGTTCCTACAGACACAAAAAAGGGGAGAAAAGAGATCTTTTCTCTCCCCGTTTCCAGGCATTATTACACAGATTCAAAGAATATTTGATGAGATCCTGGAGTTAAAAAGCAAAAGAAAGAAAGAAACAAACAAACAAAACACCCAAAACCACAGTGCCTTCTCCTCTGCACCGAGTTTTAGGACATATTCATGATGCTAAGTAAATTTAAATAAGGTCACACTGACATCACAATTTACAAATACACGTACCAGAGCTAAGAGTCAGGAGAGAGGGGACGCACAACCAAATGTTTCAGATTACAGTTTTATCAGATTAAATGAAATAAATTTATTTTATAGGTGGTCCAGTAAAATAATGAATTTGTGGAGAAAACACAGAACTATAAACATTGCCTAGCAAATGACACAAGCACAATGAATTTCCAGAATCTCTCAATTTGACTTAAATCCAAAATCTAGTTGGTATAGATTATTAATCTATATATCATTATACTAATTTTAGAACTCAATTTGTATTTTACCTTCCACAACAGAATCTCAGACACACAAAATTAATGCAGTAGCCTCAGCACCCTACTAGTTAACATTTCTGTAAATTCAAAAAACAGCAGCACTGCTGAGAAAACAAACTCTATGTACTTCACAGGCCTACAGCTGTGCCCTGATTCTTTTGTAACACACAAATTCATCTGATTTTAGGTATCTGGCAGGAGTATAAAAATCATACAAATGGTGGCATGACTTCAACGCATTACGGAAATGTGTTTGGAGAGATGGAGTGCTCAATGTACATTACATGGGCCACCTTAAAGGCTTCATCACTTATCCCACTCTCACACGCTCTCATGTCACTCACACCTCATTACAAGGTACCGTCCTAAACCAGAGACTTCGGCATTATTCCAAATAATATATACGTATTTACATAAATATTTCTTTTAAAATAATGTTTAAAAGTTTTACTACAGAAAATCTAGCTTCAACATGGAAGCATTTTTCCTTTTCAAGATTATACACCTGCATGTAAGAAGGTGATTTCCATTACACTTACAAAATAAACTTCTTACACATGGCATTTAAACAAAGAAAATTAGTATGGAAAGTTACATGTAACTTTTTATATTGTGAATTGACCTCTTTAAACATATTCAAGATACACTGCTGATAACTTACAACTTCAGTTTAATTAAAACAGTGATATGTTGAATGATCTGTTGAATCAAACTTAACTTCAAATAGTAAACTACTATTTATTGAGTTTTACAGGGAATGTATCATTAAAATATGCAATTTTCTTGCTGTAATGTTTCTATAATGCATTTCTTTCTAAAGCTAAAACCCATGCAGAAAAAAATAAGTGATATCTTCAAACTCATTCAACAGTTTGCTACTTTAGGTGGTATGTAAATAAAGTCCTTTATTTAATTTTATACACATTATGCATTATATTTTTCTTGAAGGAATTCAACTTTCAATGTCAAAATTATTATGTGTTTGCACACATGAGGACATTTTCTTGATGTTATTACTAGCTGCAAATACATTCTTCCATAATAATGCACTTTCAGATTTCATTTGAAAGACAGTATGAGCCTTTTAAAAGTCCTAAAACACTATGTATAAAGGGAAGAGAGCATAAAAGTCTCAAGAAATCCTTTCATGGACACAATCTTCACAGGATTTTTATTCAATCAAAATTTGGACAACAAAAGTTTAGTCCTACTCTTTTGGATGCTAACATACTTTTACTGATACGGATTTTCAAACTTGTTTAGATCCAATAGGTCCTTAATATATAGCCTTCTGATTAGAAAAGCAACTGATTATACTTATAGAAAAATGATATGTACTAGGCATTTAATCAGAAAAAGAAAAATGAGAACATATTTTTCATGTTTGATACCACTCAATAACTTACAGAATGAAGTAAAAATAGTTTGGCTATAGTTTTAATAAAACTAAAATCCATTAAAACTGATGAAAAAAAATCAAACATTTAAGAATCAAGTATCTACCAACTTAGCTAGTCCAAATAAATTCTCCCCATTGCACTGAATATTAGAATTATATGTTAAGGCATTTTTAATTAATATGTTCCAGAATTGCACAGTTATGCTGGTCAATGTTTCTATTTCCCTATTCTTGTCTTTATCCTACTCCTTTCTTTCCATGGATCAAAATGTTAAATCATAGTATTGGTGGCTCTTGTAGACAGCTTTGAACTGCCATACAAAAGTTTGTTCACTAGATTTTATGAGCACAAACATTAAAATGTTACATAAAATGTACCATGTTTTACTCTATACACTCATCTAATATGGTTTAATGTCTTGACAAAAGGTGAGATGACTTAAAGATGACTTAAGTACATTTTACATTTTGTGCATTTAGACCACCAAATGCATAGATGTTCTAATGCAAAATTCTTGGTCTTCAGTATCTCATAGTGCTGGATGCTCTGAAGTATGACAGAAACTTGTAACATAGACTAACCACAAAGTACCAGATATTTCTTGCCATTTGTGACCTTGCAATAAAAATGCGCCAGATCAGGATCACAAGGATAGTATTGAAACCGTAACGGATGTTCCGCAACCTGAAAAGCAAACCAAGAGACATGCTAGACAATATATTTTAGAATAAAGTATTTATGCATGGCAGCAAATTAATGTTCATAAACTAAATTATGGTTCAAATTCATATTAATCTGAAACATTTAAAAACTAAAGTTTCTGAAATTAGAGTTAAAAATTCAAATTAACCTGACTGTACAGAACCTGGACAATAGTGCATCAAACAACATACTACTTCTATTTTAACAAGGAATCCAGTATAGTGTTTTTGAAACAGTCTATCTGGATTATAAATTTACTCATTCACTAAATACGACTTAGCATTCTTAGGTGCCCAACAATGGACTAGGCACTAAGAATACTGTACATAAAACAGATATATTCCTTGAACTTCCTGCTACGATGGTACCTTGGTTCACAAACTTAATTCTTCCCACAATTCTGGTCATAAACCAATCTGGATGAGCAGCAAATTAAATTTCCCTATAAGGTCAACACTGACTCTAACCGCTGAATTTGATTTGGTTCCAGTCTGATTCAGTTTGCAACCGGAATCATGGATTAAGTTCATGAACTGAGATGTCATTGTAAATTAAAAGTCTGTAAATTATATACATCACAGCATGAAGTTTATGAACCAAACATTAAAATGTAAACTTTTTTGACGTCTTCAGTTGTTTGCAACTTTTATCAGACAAGTGAATTTATAGCTGACAAGTCACCTGATCGAAGTCCTAGTCTAACAGTAAAACAAGGCAGTAATTTAAAATGTTACACAATTCTATTAATTTTAGCATGCAGTTTAAGACAGGATACCATTATAGGAACAATGCTGTATAGGAACAATGGTGGAAAAAACTTGACAAAGTTTTTTCTTTGTTTTCTTTGGCTATTTAATACAATATGTGTAAGCAAACACAACATTCTTACACCTCACTTTCTTCATCTAACTGTTTGAATGACAAATACCAGTAACTTTAATCCTACTACTTTTGAGGGTTTTTTTTCCCTCTAAAATCAGCATATATTACTTCTACAAAAAGACAAAATTTTAACTATTTTACAAACATAAAATTTTATACTGAATTATGTTAAATCCTTTTTCTTCTTTCCAGGATTACTTGACTAATGCAAAACAAAGAAAAAACTGTAAATAAATAATGTCTAGTTTAAAATATAGTTTTTCCTTAGTAATAATTTTACTTTTTCAATAGAAATATGAGAAAAAATGGTGATTTTTTAAAACTCAAGTTTATTTTATTTCATGCTAAGCACACACTGACAGTAAGTCTGCACTATCTTAAGCTAAATCAATACTGCCATAATTCCAACCCAAGAGTAAGCATTTTCCTAAATATAATAAATAATAGATCAGTTTACCAGAAACATTTGTGTATTATTTCATAAAGAAGACAAAACATACTCAAACATGTAAAACTTACTTGTTCAAATGCTTTCTAGCTGCAGGAAGACCAGACATTTCTTCATTCAAAACATATTTCTTAGTTCCCATGCAGTAGTTTTCTATATATTCTGCCCAATGTAACTGTCGTACATCAATATTGAAGGTCTACATTAAAAAAAAAACTTACTTAGTAGCAATTTTTTTTCAAACCATCAAATATTCACTTCTTCTAAAGGGCTATCCAAAGACACGACTATACGAAGTTTAAATACAAGATTAACTACCTCTATTCTCCTAACACATCTATGCATTCTTTACTTCTTTATATACATTTTTACTTCCTATCTGCATTCTCTCCTTTCTTCCTGTGCATCCAAGAAAAAACATTAAAACTAGCTTATGGGTTTAGATAACAATTACTAGACCATTTGATAAAAAAGGAATATAAATCAGAAGATGATTTTCATGGCAAAATAAGAGGACTATCTATTGCTCAGTGTTCCTCAGGATACAGACAAAAGATTATGATCATGCTTGTGTGAGTAAATGGCTTGCTACACCATTACTTATCTAAAAATATCAAATTTGAGGGAAAAAATGCCACTGTATCACCAAAATATGAAAATATAACTACACTAACATGGAGACTTGCCTTAACAAGGGAATATTATGGAATTCTACAGAGACAACAAGAATGGAATAGAAGCAATATGTAAAACATAATGCCTGATAACTTCCCCCAAATGATGCACAGAATGAAAAAAAACATCAACCATACACGCATACATACCTAGATACATGAGAATACGTCAGAAAAAGACCAGATAGATAACTTCCAAGATAGCAAGTATTAGACTACTAGTTGATTTCTCAACAAAGCAATGGAAGCCAAAAGACTGAGATGTTTCACAAGTGTTCAAAGGAAATTACTTCTAACATACAATTACTGTATAAAATTACTACATAACATAACTTATCTAAAATTCTACACCAGTGTAATTACCTATGAAAAATAAAAGTAAAATAAAAACATTTCCAGAAGAATACAAACTGATACAATCTGACATCAGCAGAATATCCACAGTAGAGGAAGTATACCATGAGATATTTTTCAGAAAAGGAGAATGAATATAGAATGCAGATTGATTCCAGAAAGGTAGAAGAAATGAAGATTTTAAGGGTGATTATGCTGGTTAATCATATGAATAGTTAGTATATAGACTGTACTAGTTTGAATACGCCCTTCCAAAAACATTCCAAAGAAATTCAATTTCCAATGCAACAATGAGGTCCAACAGGAGGTGACCAGGTGTTGCAGGCTCTATTAACCTTGTAGATTAAGGTTAATTGTAAAAGGACTGTGATCTCAAATTTAATCATTTGCTCCTTGTCCTTCTACCATGGCATGACATAACAGGAAGGCCTTCACCAGATGCCAGCCCCTTAAGATTCCCAACCTCCAGAACCATGAGCCAACTTCTGTTTATTACAAATTACCCCATCTCAGGTCTTCTGATTACCCACACAAAACAGACTAAAACTGACTGAAAAAAACATAATGCCTGTCACACTTACCTTATATAGAATTAAAACATGTACCAGTAGTAGTACATAGGCTTTGGCCTTTTATTACCCATGAAAGGTAACAGTATGAATCTATATTAGGCCTTGCCAAATTAAGGAAAGATACTGTTATCTCAAAAATACCCTATTAAAACAATTATTTAAAAAAATGCAACTAAGATGGGTGAGGTAAACATGAAACTGCAAAACAAAACCATCTCGCTCCCCCTAAAAACAGATAAAAAGACAACCTAAAAAGCAAAAAAAGAAAACAAAGCATTAACATTTAAACCACAAAGTATCAGGAATTAAGTCATGGATTAAGTCTTTCAATAAAAGGTCAAAGATTACAACTGGGAGCAAAAAAGAAAAAGAAAAACAACTACATGCTGCTAACAATAAACACAGCTAAAAGACAAGCTGACAGACTGCCATAGAATTTAAATAAATCATTTAGATTTTGTTCCTGACATAAAATTAAGGTTAAAAGGACAAAATGGTATAAGATATAACAGGAATTCCATAAGACAGTAAGAGAATGGTGCAGAGGCCGTATGTGAAGAAATAACATCTAAGGATTTTTCCAAATTGCTGAAAGACACTCATCTTCACATTCAAAAAGCCCAACCAAAACAAATTATATTTTCAAAATTTTTACTTTTAGTATATGTTTGCAACAAATAATGATTACATTCATTGTAGGCAGTTGGTATATTCTGTTACACATCTTAATTCTTTTTAAAAACCATAGACATGTTGTTAGTAAAAATGTGGAACACCAAACATAAAAGTAAGATGTGAAAAGCCAGGAATAAGTAATTTTCTATAAAGGAAGAATAAATCACTGACTTTTCAATAGCAACAATTTAGACAAAACATAAAAAGAAAGTTACCTTTAATGTGCTGAACTAATGTTAAAAGACCTAAGCTCACAATCAAAAGCTGGAGTTAAGTACCAGTTAGGAACTAAATCATATTATGGTGTTTGGATATGTACTGGGAACAAAACAAAACCAAAAACGATCATAAAGATCTTAGAACAAAGACATTGGTAAACATATAGCTAAATCTAAAACACTGAATGAACAAAACTCTGTCCTTATGGGCTTAAACAGAGCACTGAAATGTATAAATATGGGAGGTTATATGGTTGGTGGTGGTAATTACAACAAAAACATTTTAAGATCCTAAATATTAAAGAGGAGGCCACTGAAATCTCTTAAGACTGTTAGGTATACATGTTAAAATATCTAGGATAACCTCAAAAACAATACATACGAAGAATTTAAGTTTCAAATGAGCAGAGAGAAACTGTGGAGTGACAAAAAGTAAAAGTATGAAAAACAAAATGATTTTTTTTTCCTAAAACTCAGAAAACAGGCATCTATCTGAAGGAAAAACACAAAAAAGATGTTAAATCACGCTTGGGAAAAGGAGTTAACATATTGATTATATTTTGAAAATGCTTTTGCCACTGTCAAATACATTAAACATCCTAAGATAAAGCACTTTTTATCTCCTCATCAATAATTATGATTGAAGCTCTAATGAGATTACAAATAGATCAATGACTTTCTTGTTGCATAATGGTAGTGGATAATCTTTACTTCGCAGGCAGCTTAGTAGTTCTTTAATTGGTATACTACTTATTTTCTAACATAAAACTGTAGTAATACTTACCTTTTTATCTTCAGGGTTTAGTTGATTCATTAACATAGTGACATTATCAGTATTCCAACCCCAAGAATTACTTGTGAAATATTCAAGAAACACCATAGCTTTGTGAAGACGAGTTATTGTTTTCATCATCCTGTATGACAAAAATGTATAGATTCATATAGTGCCTAGATGAGGAAAAATCCCCATCACTATCCAGAGTACCAGTTTCCCCCAATTTGGAAATCAGCATTAAAATTATAATATGTAATTCAGTAAGTGAAACAAACCAGCGGAGAATAAGAGTATTTCTGCATCTTGTGAAAACATTTTATAAATTTAAAGTGGAAGAAAAAGCCAAAACAAAATTTTGGAAGTAGCAGCAAATGAATTTAATACTACTTAACAGAGTTCTGCTGAAAAACAGAATCCTCAACATATATCCAATACCATTAGTGTTAAATTTTATATAAAAAATACTAAGCAAATAAATGGCTTCAATTCATTTTTCCTTTTTTTTTGTTTACGTTTTAGTTCAGCTGCGTTCACTAAGATGTCCTGTGAATTTACAACATACTTTGTTATAATCCCAACTCTTCAGCATTATAGAAGCAAAGTATGCAGAAATGCTCACTGCCATTTAGTCAAATCTATTAAAAAATACATATATATGTACACATACACACAGAAACTTTCTTTTTTAACACCGATTGGCCCCAATCTTGATTATCTGTATGTGCTGTGAAATCAATGACTCGAGTGGAATACTTTTGAAACAGATATTCATTCCTTTCCCCTCATCCCTCACAAGATTCCTCTTAGAGAAGTATAACACTTATTAAAAAGAGCAAGGAGCTGTAATCTTTGTATCTTGTTTTATTATCACTCACTGTAAGTCATTGTTATCATAACACTAATCTTAGCAGTAACATCTATATGACAATAATTACCTACGATAAGGAAAGAGAAAAAAGAACTTTTTGAAACACATACACACCAAGAAAAAAAATCCCAGCTTCTAAAAACAGAAAAATAATCTGTGGAGAAATACTTGAAAATAATTCCATAAGAACCACCATTATGTGCTAATTAGAAAGTCCCAAATTAGGAGCTTTAGAAATAGGGAATATGGGAGAAAATTACAACATTAGAAATAGAAAAATCAAAACAGTATCACCAGCTAAGTGACTCTGGTAACACATTCAAGTACATTTAGAAAGAAGCATTGAATACAGAATACTGAAAGAAAGTAAGGTGATAGTGACTATGCAAAGAAAAACTATTTCATTCAGTGAAGTAACTTCAAAATAAAACCTCCATTAAACATTAAGAAAAATGATCAAACATCAAAAGCTGTATCTGGGCAGGAATAATTCACATAGAAAGAACCTGGCGATAGGAGCCAAAAGATACACACTATTTTTAGGGAAATAAAAAGCATTTTTCTTTCAAAATGAGATATAATAGATTCATTCATCAATACATGTCACAACTAGTACAGTACATCTGAATCATAGCACACACAAACACACACAGTTATCATGCCCAACTCCTTGGTAATTTTTACCTATTTTCAGACTGAATCAAGAAACAATTAATCCTAAAATCAACCCTAATTCAGCTATTCCAAAAATAACTATTATGAAAGATCGGGGAAGGTACTGAAAAGCCATATATATGAAAAATTTAGAGAATACTTATCAGGCAATAAAAGTACTGGACTGAATACTGTTAGAATAAAAAGAAAATGTACCTCTATCCTTTGGTTAAACATGTTAGAAACATGGTTAGAAAGCTGACTACAGGCTATGAACAGTATGGGTATTTATTCTGCATTATGGCAACCCATAAAATATAATCAATTACAATCCTTTGAAGCAGGTTAAGATCTTAATACTCATTTAATCTTGGGTTTCTTAACCTCACCTATCCTCTGAGTCAGATAATTCCTGGGGGAGAGAGGCTGCCTTGAGCACTGTTAAAATGCTCTGGCAACATCCACATCCTCTACCTACTAATGCCAGCAGCACCACCTCTCAACACTAGCTGTAACAGCTAAAAGTAGCTTTAACATGTCCCCAGCTGAGAACCACACAGATAAAAAATACTAAGTTCAGAGAAATAAAGCTACAGTTATGACAAATAACCATAAACAAGACCACAAAGCTGTATTTTTAGATTTTGTTTCCAATGACAAAATGTTGTATTTCAAAAGCTAGAATAATTTACACTGCTTCTACATGCAGTACCAAATAGCCTGGTCCCTACTATCAACCAAGAATCCATATAATGCACATTGGAGTTACACTATAATTAGGTTAAGATATACAGCAAGCCAGATTTTTATTTAGCTAACACTCAACATAAATGAGTAAAAGGGGAACTCTGAATGACATGAGTTTATTAGGCACTATATTAGGACCTCGATATATGGGGGAAAGCTCAGTACCTTGGCTCACTAAATATCTGAAATTAAGTATTATAAATTGTAAAATTTGGGGGCTGGGGGTTTAGCTCAGCTGCATAAGCACCTGCCTTGCAAGCAGGCGGTCGTGAGTTCAATCCCTGTACCAATAAAAAATAAAAAAAAAATTGTAAAATTTTGTACTTAACATTTACAAAATTGCCTAAATTAAAGAACAAAAAGCCCTTTCATGGCCCTTGTTGCTTTTAGTTTACACTGTACTCTCCCAGAAGTCAAGGACTCCTCCTTTGATACTCAGCCTTATGCAGGACAAATGTCAGGTATGCAGGACAAATGACTGTTCACTTGATGCACCTGATTTAGAGAAGATTTTAATTTCCAAAGAGGGATGCAATATTATCTCTCATTGTACATGTTTATCTACAATGTTGCCTAGATTATCTTCATTCTATCAAGAGGCAAAGGTAACTTAAAACTAACAGAATAAAGCAGAAATGATACTGCATGACTTCAGAAGCTATCTCAGAAAAGGTGGCAAGTTTTCTGCCTTGCTTACTGGAATACTCACCTTTAGGTACCATGTGTGCTGTCCAGCTATAAGGAAGCTCAAACTAGTCCATGTGCAGAGACCACACGGAGAGGCTCAGACTACATGAAGAGAGAAAGGACCTGCCATGCCAGCTCCACTACATGCTTCCTCCCCTTTACCACCAGTGTCCCTGCCCCAGTGTCTGTCTTACTACTGCCACCATTTAGAAGACCTGGAGCCAGAATCACCCAGTCAAACCGTTCTAGAATTCCTGACCCTCAGAAATTTGGACACGTATCTTAAGTAACTTTTTTACTGAATACTTAAGTTTGTAGTGATTGGTAATACAGCACTAAAAACAGGAACAGGGCTTAGCAATACTGGGAGTGAAAGGCTGCTAAAATGCAAATCTAAAACATACAGTATTAGCATTAGGTGGCAGGCAAAGCCTGTTAGACCTTTAAGGGGCTCATTATTCAAATCTGAAAGGACCAGGAAAAGAATGCTAGTGGTGAAAGATCTGAAGAGCTTTGAGGAAGCTGTTGGTGACAGCTTATACTGAAGAAATTAGAGGCTGGCTTTGGCTCCATGGTACAATACTTGGCTAGCATTTCCAAGGTTCTGGGTTCAACACCAGCACCCCCACCCAACACATTTTGGGAAGTGGAAGAAAAAACAAAACCACCACTTGTGGTAACATGGAGGATAACAGAAACTACACATAATAAAACTCAACCCAGCTGATGTTTCTTGAAAGATCTTATAAAAGGAATTATTTGTTGCATGAAATTTGGAAAGAATAAGTACCAGTCAGATTTCCCATTGCTGGACCTAATACCCAATGCCCATAACTTAAGGAACATTTAATGTGAGGAATTCAGTCCATGGCAAGCTGGCTCCAATGCATGGAAGAGCAGAGACTTTAGAATGACATGATTTGGTGCCTCATAGAACCATTTAGACTGCCAGAAGCTTTCTTCAGATCTTAGGGACAAGGGTCACAGAAACCCTAGTAAATGAAAGGCAGGACTCAAGACATCTCAAGGGATCTAAACGATTCTGTCCCACAGCAACCTCAGACCCTACATCAAAAAGACTTTGTCTCAAAGAGGTTTGTGAATATGGCTTTTGTCTAATGAGTCCATTGCCTTAAAATTCACAAATCCTTCACAACTTTTTTTAAAGCAATCACATCAATTTACATATAAAAAGACACAGAGGAACACACAAAATGAAAATAGGGTCCTGTATCAAGGATCAGCAAACCAAGGCCTACCTATCAAATCCACACCTGTTTTTATAAATATACATTTACTGGAACACAGTCATATTACCTTCGTTTTTGAGAGACAGTCTTGCTAAGTTACCCACACTGGCAATGAACTTGAGAACCTCCTCCCTCAACTTCTCAAGTAGCCAGGAAAAAAGTGGGTTCTTAGGATTACAGCATGCACCACCATGCACAGCTTGCTTTCAATCTTTAACAGCTGAGTTCAGTAGTAGCAACAGAGCTCAACAGAGAGAAAACCTGAAGTGTTTACTATATGGCCTCTTACAAGAAAAATCTGGTGACTCTGCCCTGGACTCCTACTAAGTTTCTAGAAAAAAAAAAGTAGATACCTAGGCTAATTCATTTCATGCTCATGCCATTTTTTATGGAAAAAGGATGACTGGAGAAAGCAGAATCAGCAGCCTCTGCAATTTCCAAGTGAGGGACTGAGTCCTAATCAAGAAATTATCAACATATACCTGACAGTCAAAACTGTCATGAATCATTACTTACTGTGTGCCACTCATATCCCCTCGTTCTGCAAACTGAAACCATTATTTTATACTTCTCTTATTATCACATATTGCAGGTATGGGGAGATGGCAACTTGTTTTAATTCACAGGTTTTCAGATTAATACTTTAGGAAATTTTGGGAAGCTCTATCTGTAATGCCACTCACTCCAAAACAGTCCACTTTGCAACTGGATCTGACTTAAATGACAAAACCTTGACTTCGAGCTGATGTCACTGGGATCTTGAGGGAAACTGTATTAACTATACTTTCCATGTTGGAGGAATAATGTTTTGACCAGAAAGTTGATGGTAGCAGACTGCACTTTCCAAAAATGACTCAAAATACCTACTGTCTAACTTGTCTGTTTATAACATGATCTTGACCATATTCCCTTTCCTTGAGTCTAAGAGGATGCATGATTAAGTGAAAAAAGCGAAAGTGATAATGCATGACTTCCTCAGGCAGCTCAGAAAAGGCAATGTTGCTTCTACTTTTCTTGCTGAAATACCTGCTCTGTGAAGCCTTTGGCTACCATATAAATTAAAAGTAACTTTAATTTCCTTAAATGCTACCAGTAGGCCTTTCAAGACTGCATGAAATGATACTGACACTGCGTGGAGAGTCAACAACTCTTGGTCCCTAGCTATTTCATGGTGTTTACATCATACTTTAGCTCTTTCAGCTCATCTGTAAAAATATGAAAGTCCCCAATCCAAGCTGATTTCTTCTCAAATTCCTGATCCTGAGAGAAATAATATATTGAAAAATAATTAATAAAGTGTTTACTGCTGTTTTAAACCACTAAGTTTAAGATGATTTATTATGCAGCAGTATGTACTCTGAACCATTTAGCAAATATACTTAGTCATTTTTGTAAGTTCACTGAGCCCCCTTTCTCAGTATAAGGCAATGTGACATTCTTTAACCTTTTACCTTTTTGGAACCAGTTTTGAATTTTCTACCCTAACATGTCATTTTCACCTGCTTTTCAGCCATAAATGAATGCTGCAAAATGGTAAATGTTCCATTTTATAGATCATCCTTGAAAAACTTGAAACCATTTCATTTAAAGTTTTTCAATTCAATACCTCTCACGTATTTCAATACTTAATATACGAATTAGGAAATCATGACAAGCAAACTCACAGGAAATAGTACAATTAACTCAGATCCTGATACACTGTAACTGGCAGATACCTCACTTTTATTTTTGAGCAGCTGATGGAAGTTCTGGAATCAGCATCTTCTTTATCTATATAAATACTGAAATCCTGAACTCTCCAATCAAAGGCTTCACTGTAATATCAATGTAATTGAGTAAGTATTTTTATAGTACATTTCACTATAACTGTGTGGTAAAGACAGAACATTTTCTGAGATTTCATTGAAAAAAAAATGAAAGAAAGGATACTACAACTATAATAAAATACAAAGTTTTGCATTTGTTATTAATTTTTTTTTAATGATGCCATCCCCAACCCAGAAAATTAGTCAGAAACTGTAATTACCATATTATAAGCTGAATGGACAGATAAACCAATTCAAGTAATTAATTTTCTAGAAATCTCCCTATACTTTTCACATAAACCTGCACCAACCACCTAAAGCAAAATATTTTACCCTTAATCCCCTGTAAAAATTCTCTCCTAGGTTTTTAAGAGAGAAAGGACAGGGGCTCAATTTCAGCTTATAATAACAATGACAACCTGGATATAGGACATTTCTTATGTTATGGAATTTTGGTGGGTCAATGACCCAGTGAGATCCAGTTAGTCTCCATAAATATCTTAAATTTCTAAGAAATGCCCTACTATCTTGATTGTGATTGTGATTAACAAGGTTAGTAGTTCTAAGGTAAAGCTCATGCTAGCGACGTTTTGTCTCTCCAGCAAGCTTCCACCACCTTACCAATAAATAGTGTATTTACTACTATTCTTACCACGGTTTCTGACCTGTCAACCTGAGAGCAAGATCGAGCAATAATGCAGGTACTGTATGTCTGACACCCTTCCAATAACGTAACAACAGGTTGTTGGAACAGAACTTAAAACTGGGGTGCCTTATTACTTGGTTAAAAGGATTCATCCTGAAGAAATGAGTTATACAACGTTCTGTAGGAAAAGTAAGCATCAAAGCATTTTGAATATTATTATTCAGAAAAGTACCTAAAATTAGACCTAAAATTCAATACATGACAATAATTTATCATCCAAACTTTTAGAACAAATTAGTGACTTACAACACTACCTTTGCTTTCCTGACAAAGTCTTAAATTCGAGTGTCTTCTCATTCACAAAAGGCCATTAAGCCTCATCATAAGCATAAAACAGATACATAGTTAATAGGCATTTTAGTGTAAGCATGGGTTGTTTAACAGTCAGAGGAACAGACAAGACAGAGCTAGTCACCATTACCTTGGGCTTCTTCCAGTCATCCTGAGGTAGATATCATACAGGAATGCTGGGGCCTTATGGCTTACAGCAATCCAGTAATGATATAAAAGGTGATTGGAGGTTAGATTTACATTGGGCCGTCTGAAGGCCTGTTCGAGAGGATTCCTCTTGAAAGTGGAAATTACATGGTATTCTGAGGAAGAAAAGTTGTGTAACAGCTTTGATAATAACCATGTAATGAAGTTTTGAAAAAAAATTATGTTTTTACAATGCAAAATACAAAGATGTCAGATATTGTTTATTTAAAAAAAAAAAAAAACTTTTCTACTCTATAATAGCTAAGAGAATATGGGGATTGCTGAACTCAAGTGGTTTAAAAACTGCCACTGTTTAGGAACCTAAGTAGATGAAGGAAGTTTTGCTAAAATTCACTCTTTAAAATCTTTGTAATATTTTACCATGTCAGTTTACAATGTATGTCACTTCCTATATGTCACCTCTTATGATAGCTTCTTTCTTTCTGTTCCTCTTTCCAGATTCTTATTACTGTACTTATTTAAAAGAGAAAAGGAAAATCATCATCCTTTGCTTATAATTAAGATGATCAAATTAACATACATCAAACAGGCTTAAAACAACCCAAAAGTAATCTCTACTGTAATTTACTTAGGTTATTCACTGGCAACACAGTCAAACTTGATATAATCTGCCAATACATCAATGGAAATGTATATTGAGATGGTCACTAAAAAATTATGTTCCAGTTGATTTTTTACTAAATTTTGTAACACAATGGAAGACTAAAATAAACTTCATTTTAAAGTGTCTCAATATTATTAAAAGAATACCAAAATAATTATCGTAAAACCATTCTAGGTTTTATTTATTTTTATATGCTTTAATGATTAATCTTTAAAGTAAAAATATCATAGGAAAACCCTAAGAACAAATGTTATGGAAGATTTACTTTAAAATCGAAATTATACTGCAGGTGTAACAAAAGTTACTCAATTAAAAGTAAAATCTATTAATATAGCAATGCCATAAATTTACTTTAAATATGAAATCACTGATCAACAATTTAAAAAAGATTCAGTTTCAATAACCTTAAGTTATACTATTCCTATTTTAAAACTAGTAACATACATACTAGCTGCTGTGGTGTGGGTTTAAATAAGATTAAGAAAGGTCAGCAGAAAATATTCTAGCCAACATGTATCCTAATTCCTTCAATTTTTACTCTGAAAACAACTTGATAAAGCAACTATGTTAAGTGGAAGTGATTATGCCTTTAGATTGGCAACATTAAGGACTGAGGGTGCTCATGCTGGAGAAAAAGCACTGTTTCTATGCCACAGGTCATCTATGAAGGCTGCTGCAATGGTAACAGAAAACCGCAAGGTTCAGTCACAGTGGAGTGAATAGGAGGAATATATGCTGCGGGGTATTCTGACATTTATCAAACACTACTAAGGATGGACCACAAGGCAGCATTGGTCACTGTTATTCTAAAATGGCAAGTAAAATACAAATAAATTCAAAATTCAGTGGCCTTAATGCCTCATAGATGCTCTAACATTAAAATCTCAATGGACATTTTAAATTCTTTCAGATCTATTTTAACATTCAAAAACACAGATAAAATCATACCAACTTCACCCCAATGGAAAGGATTAGTGCTGCCTGTTGTACAGTTATATACCATGATGTTTCTTGGTCTGCAAAGACAAAGATGAAAAGTAATGAGATGTAAAGAGACCAAACTTACTCAATCTGCAATCTACCTCATACTGAGGTAGGAAGAGTTCAGGATAACAAGTACTTTTTCTATACTGATTATATACATTTATGTTTGCAATTTCCAACTATACTATAACCCTCCTATACCTCCAAAATTATAAATACAGACTTTTTTATTTTTTCCTTGTCTTAAAAATGTCTTGTTTTTAAAAAATAAGGAAAATAATCACAATCAATCTTAGCTCTTTTTCATTTTCAGAGGGTCAAGCTGAAAAAAACTGTGGACCAAGTTACCTTTTGCCAAAACAACATAGTAATATAATCACATTCCTCCTTTTTTAAGGACATAAAATACTGACTTCAAAAATAAGGACACTTTATGAAAAAGTAAGTTAAAAAGTAGCTTAATGTTTGTTTCCTGCAAATGTTAAAATTATTGTCTTTTCAAGGGATGTTCGTGCATTCATTAAAACTGTTTAAACCGTTCTCTGAATTTCAATGTTTTTATCTCAAATTTAAACCAGATTTTAGTTGAGATTAAAATATCACCTTTGGAGAGGACTTCTTCCCCTAATCTTAATCACTAATCAACTTATATATTCTGCAATGTGTACATGAGAATTGATGTTAATTTTTTTCACTACTACAGATGGCCCACTGGTCCATGTATGCCTACAATACACCAACGTGTGCAGTTGACAGTGGTATTACGTGCATGTTAGTATGGCAATATCAGACTAAGGAATCAATTAACATTAGCAGTTCCATTTTCTCGGTTACTACATATTTAACAAGCAACATTACCACCTCACATACCTATTAACTCCAGAATACCAGGCTGCTGCAAGGCTTGTGTTGACAACTACATCTACAGGAACAAGATCTGCAAGGGCGTTATTGGAGGCACGCATTGTTCGAAGAATTCCTTTCCCTGCCTTTGTTGAAATGAAAAACAAAACCTTAAGATATATAAGCCAAAGTGTGTGTGTGTGTGTGTGTGTGTGTGTGTGTGTGTGTGTGTGTGTATACATATATATATATATTTTTTAAAAGAAATAAAGAAAACAGAAAAATACAGAGATCACTTAGAGATCACTAAGTAAATCAAAAGGTTTACTTACCGCAATAAAGAGGCCACTTGGTCCATTAAAGTTATCAATCCATCCCTAATGCCAAAAATTAAAAGGAGAGTAAAGGGAACTAAGAAACATGAAACTAGAGAACATTTGAAATCTATTAACTCCAAATATGTATTTCATAATTTTCTTTCAAAAACCAAAAAATGTCTAGATTCAGTTCAGAAAATTGCTCCTCATCCTAAATAAAAGCCATCTTCCTCTGGTATAGTAAATGACTAAGTAAAAATATTTCCAAGGATTTTGTTTTCCATTCTCTAGTATTTTATTAAGAGGAATGTATACTACTACTGAATGGTGCCAACTTAAACCTGTTCAACTTCGATACTTTGCTTGCATTTACTAATGTAGCATCCTGATCAGAGGAAAATATACCAAGTAAAATAGGAAAACAGAGTATGCAAGCACCAAAAGAGATGCTATCACTACCATTACACAGATCTATGTTTTTCCTAAATCAAGTTATCTATTAGTACAATAATACTATTTCTTACTATGAACAGCAACAGCTATGCCTCTGTAAGCCATGTTATGCAAAGAGTATTCTCAAATCAAACTGCCAACTCTTTTTATACAGTTAAAATCCTCAATTCTAATTATTTATATTAATTTCCAACAACTTACAGGAAAAGGTTCTTTCCAACTGGCACCAACAATTGAAGGCCTCACAATTGCCACATTTAGCTTTGCTCCTTCTTGCTGTACAACATACTCTGCCAATGCTTTCGTGTATATGTATGTATTAGGTCTGTCTCCTATTAATTTTGGTGTGATATCATTTACTAAGTCATCATCCATCCATCTGTAAACAAAGAAATTGCATAAAAAATATTCCCTGGTGTTTAGTATAGAATAAAAAAACTATGAAGCTGAACTTTGAACACTCAAATACATCTATTTCTCTGACTCAAATGATGAGATAGTAACTTTCATGGAAAAAGTCTTAATTTCATTAAACATCAACTACACGTCCATACTCCCTTAACCACAAGTTTTATATCCAAAAAGATCTGACAACCAAAAAGAGTTCTCTCATAAACCATATGGAATATAGCAACACCTATAATTATAAGTAACACAGACTCAGAAAGACAAGTATCATGCTTTCCCTAACATTTGGAATCATAAAAAAAAAAAAAAAGATGACATGAACATAGAAAGGAGAGTATTACTAGACAAGAGAAAGAGAGTAAGGGAAAGGATGAAAGGGGGGCTACAAGGAAATGGCTATGATCAAATGTTACATAAAATAACACATTGAAACACAATTATTTTGTAAACTAATAAGCCCTAGTGAAAAATTCTTAAAACCAAAAAGCCCTAACCAGACAAATAAAAAAATCATTTAGCTAAATTATTCATATATTTCATATGTGTTTGATCAAGGATGCTACCCCAGATCAAACTGAAATTTCTTTATATTACACAACACACGAATTGTATTTTCTTTCTCAGGCCCAAATAAAATAAAACTGGCTTCCACTGTTTCAGATTAGGAATTATGTATAGATCTGTACATAAGCACCTAACAGAATTACGTATCAATTATATACATTTGCAATTCACATACATTTACAATTAATATAAATTGGTCTAATAAAGACAAAGCATTAAAACTGTATGTCCTCACAAGTACTAGAATAAACAACAAAAATGTATTGGAACATGCTATGAAAATTCAAAAATCTACTTTGAAATCATAAAATTCCTCCAATCTCTCAGTATCTCTAAGAAAAAATAATGGTCTACTTAGATCATCTGCCAAAGGGAAGTAATAGACTGATTAAATCTATAGTGTTTCCTGGTCTAAATTTCTACTTCAGGTATGTTATGTACTTGCTTGCAGATATTTTTTTCCTTTTGTCTATGCTGGGCATAAAAGTAGACTTGGTACTATCACAATCTGATGATATACAAACTAACTAATAAGGAAGCAAAAAATGGAGATGATCAAGACAAGCACCTTTTACAGATGGAAGGAAGCCACTAATTAAAATGAAGGGAAACTGCTATTCAACTTAGAAAAATTCCACAATAGAGATGGGCTTTGAAAATTGGGAAAATTAGCTTGGCCTGGTGGCACAGGGCTATAATCCTAGCACTTGAGACAAAACAGAAGGATCATTGTAAGTGAAGAGAGGTTGGGCTACATAATGAGTTCAAGGGTAGCCTGGACCACAAAACACACAAAACTGAGATAGTTCATAGAAGGGGAGAACAGAAGACAGCAACCCTATAGAACGAGAGGAGAGATTTTAGCCAGTAAGTTGTATGACGTGAATTTACAAAGCGTAATGTAAGCAAGGAAAGGTGATAAAGAATCAGGTTACAAGCTCTTTTTCTATCTCTTAGATGTTTGTATATACCAATGTTAACAAGGGAAAAAGTAGTGTGTTTCACTAACTTCCAAATCAACTTTCCAGAGACAGTAAACAATTTCGATTACTATCAGTTAGAAAAATGAACTATATGTTTGAACCAGCTGAAAACATGAGTCATAAGATAGAAGTCAGAGAATTATCCAAAGAATGTCTTAGTAACCTCTTATGCTTACTAATTTTCTTATGTCTGCTTCCTCATAATGATCAGCAGGAAAGCCTTAAAAACAAAGACTGCTTACTTTAGAAGAAAACCATGGTGATCAAGAATCAAAAGTGAATGGGTAGAAAGAGGCTAAAGAAAGAACACAGACATAAGCTCAAATACTGTATCAAGATTATGTGAAGATATGATGGACGCTAGAATGTTTTAATTGCTGAAAAAAGACTGATCTTATTTATTTCACTTGCTAAGAATGCACAAGCTGAAGCAAGAAAGAACTGGATCATCATACATGCATATTGCACTTAATATTCATTATGTATTTAACAATATTCATGTAATAATTACTGATACGATCCCAGTGTTCAGAAACATGGTAAGCAATACGCTAGGAGTATGAATTAAAGGATGATGACTCCTCTTAATTCCTTAATAATTAAAGACCTCTCTATAGATATACTCCAGCAGTGGCAAACCTATGGTGTGCGTGCCGCAGCTGTCTGTTTATTATCGTTCAAGATCTAAAAGGTTCATCAACACTGATATACTCCATTGGAGAGGGAAAGGAGGGAAGATGTATGTAGATGTTAGTCAATAAGAACTTTGCTATTAAACAGACCATCACTGATCTCCAGAGGTACTCTCTGATTGCTAGGAACGACTAACTGGAAAACAGAACCCCTCGTACAATGGATAAACTGTTCAGAAGCCTCTATTATTCATAATCAAATATGAAAGAGCCACAATGACTTCACCATTCAGACATAAACAGTACAGGAAAAGTAACATGGCAGATATGCAATCACTCGCTGAATAAAGGGAGATAAACGCACACATGTGGATGTGCAAGTACGTGGAGGAGAGAGCAAAAAAGAATAAAAATAGATACTTTGGGATTCAAGCAATGTATATAAATTTCAAACAAACATACTCTAAAGAATCAATCAGCTTCTTGGGATCTACAGGTGGTGGGTACACTACTTCATCAATATGCTTTCGATTGCAGTAGGCATATGCTGTTGAGACATGCATGAACACTTCCAGATTCTTCATTTGTTGCGCAAGGAGAATAAGCTGTTGTGTAGCAATCACATTTAACTGAACGGCATCTCTGCCAAAGAAAATGACAATAAAATATTGGAAGTCAGAAACAGAAACACATTTTTGATTCTTTACAACTCTCCGTTAGGTCTGATTTTCTGTATTTTATATTCACTAGGTTTGAAAAGAATATTTTTGATTATGAAATAAACTTTTATCATTAAGATTGAAAAGCAAAACTACACATTAAAAAATTAATAGTCCAGTTTGATTACTGGTACCAAAAAAAAAGGTCCAAAAATACACTGACATTATTTCAGTCTTCACCTTCTCTGTATGCATTGTGAACTCATCCTAGATTTCTCCTAAATCTTGATTTCTAAAAGTTAATCTTTCATTATACGACATGTCACAAGTAGAAACAACTGAGTAATTTTAAAATGCTAAGGTAAAGCCAGGCATGGTGGCACACCCCTATAATTCCAGGACTTGGGAAGCTGAGTTGGGAGGGATCATTATGAGTTCCAGGCCAGCCTGGGTGACACAACTGAGTTCAAGGGTCGCCTGCACTGTCTCAAAACACATACACACATACATACATACATAAAGTTTTTTTTAAAATGCTAAGGTACAGTTACCAATAAGAGTAAAATAAAATTATCAAGTAAGACTCAGGAATGTTGAATTATATTAACATATAATTCAAAGAAAGTTCAAAGACATTAAACTGTGCTATATTATCAAATAAGAATGTTTATTTCCCTCTCTGTAATAATATAAATACTTTTAAAAAGAGTATCTTAAAAATTCACAGGTAAATGCAAGACTCCAAAACGATCCATATATTTCTTTCTTACAATTTAAGTGAAGTAATTCCACAAAAGCAAAAGTATATATGCAGGAAAGTAACCAATGAAATATCTTCTAATAAAGTCTACAGAATCTAAATATTCATTATGAATGAAACAGTTTAACAAAGCAGGTAGAGTGTTTTATCACAATAAAAGCATATAGCAATCAATATAAGCACCTGAAGACCGTAAGAACATAGAAAATCTGTATGAATACAAAAAACACATTATCATGTGAAGCAGGATTAAGAACAAGGCTCTAGAATCAGACTGGGTTCTTGGCTTGGCCTACCTATAAAAAAGATGCAAAGTTACTCAAATACTCAGGCTTCAGTTTCTTTACCTGTAAATGGGAACCAACAATGGAATCTACATACCACACCTGTGTAAAATAAAATGAAACAGTTTGCAACCATTTAGTATTCCTAACACAGTCTCAAAACAGGCAGTAAATATTAAGGTAATAAATGTTGGGTAGTTTTGTTTTCTATTAAACTATTTACTTATAGCTTTTTAAACTATTTACTTTTAAACTATTTACTTACAGCTTTTTTAAAAATGAGCAAAAGTTCTACTGTACAACAGTATGACAAAAATAAATAACAATGTATTCTTCAAGTCACTGAGAATAGATTTTAGGTGTTCTCATTTCCCTAAAAATGGTACGTAAAGAAATGCATTACTGGCTCAATTTAGCCATTCCACAATGTACATACACCTCAAAATATGTTAAATGTCATAAATACATACAACTATTGTCAATTAAAAAATAAAGAGAGAAAAGTGAGATAATACCAGTGATAGAGCTGGCAGAACACTTACCCTGTTGAATAACACTTACCCTGTTGAATAACACTAAAAGTTAATACAACTTATCAAAAAAATTAAGACAAAGAACCAGGAGTTATAGAAATGACACATTTATTAATCTAGGTAACCTAATTTTTAGAGGAAAAGAACTTGCCCTCACCCTAAATTTTAAAACAAAAAGAAATCAAAACTCCTTAAATTCATTATGAGAAATAAATCATATACTGTATCATGACAGAATATGTCAAGTCACTAAAATTATAGTCATAACAATTAGAAATACAAGGGGCCAGGGATATAGCTCAGCAGCATAAGCACCTGCCTGGTAAGCATACGGTTCTGAGTCTGATTCCGATACCCAAACAAACAAAAAAATTAGAAATATGGAAGTTGTTCTGTATTAAATTTTGAAAGTAAAATTAGAAAGTCCATGTTTACAATCATAAACTATGTTCAAAAAGAATTTTTGGGGCTGGGGATTTAGCTCAGCAGTATAAGTACCTGCCTGGCAAGCACAAGGTTATGAGTTTGATCCCTGGTACCAAAAATAATTAAATAAATAAATTTTTAAAAAATACAGCTTTGTGTACTTTTGCTTAATAATTATATTGTTGGTATTTAGAAGAAAAAATCCACCTATTCTTTGAAATGACAAGAATATTGTCATTTGTAGACTCCATCCACTTGACCATAAAACAACGCTTTGGCCTACCTTGCTTGTGGAACAATGGAAATGAGGAGGGTACTGTTTGAGGACAAGTGTAGAGAGATTATTCTGTTACAATTTCCTGAGGACAGGACAGGAAGAGCTGGGTCATCAGAAACAAGGAATAACTCATGGGCACAGAGGGGACACCTATGCCTTATTTTTTGTTTTAATGTAGTAGCGTGTAAGAGCTTATGAAAAAACAAGAAAAAATTTTAATGAAATTGGAGTAGAATTTTATAATCATGGGTTATATTTTTTTCCCTTATCTCAACTGAGGGCAAACCGATCTATTCAAATGAAAATCTAACATGAAAGACATTAAGAACAGAGGGCTGGACTATTAGGAAATGTGCTACTTTCTTTTGCACGTTTGCAAAACAAAGGATGTGGAGAGTAATGTTTTAGATATTCTGTTACTCCCTTCTGAGGCTGGTTTCAGAGTTTCTGGGTCACAGATGGGAATAACTTGATAGGCACACCCCTGTGCCTTACGTTCCTGCCTGTGCTCACCATCTGGAGAGTTCAACCTGAAGCTATTTCCTGACACCTGTTAACTCTTGGTACCTCTCTGCCAGACCAGTTAACTTTACTCTCTTTTACCCCAACCCAATTTCTATTTTGTTGAACCTTAGGCTGAGAGCTTGACATATTAGACCAGATATATTACTAAACAAGAATGTCTCATTACATTTTAGTGATATGAAACCATAAATGCTAAAGATAAGCTTTTAGGAGATGGGTGGAAAATGAGCATAACTTTGCAATTGTAGTCTTTCATTATACATAAACAGAGAAACCACTTCAAAAAGAAAAAAAGAAAGCTCAACTTGAACTGCCAATAAATTTTCTTGTTCATCTGTCTTAGAAGACATCTAGGATTCTTCAAAATCTAGATGATACTTCTAAAGACCTCAGACCAGCACTCCCATACCTGGCATTACATAAACTGGGATTTTAGAGTCCTGGACCTCAACCTCAGATACTTCTAATGTTTGAAATGAAGCCTGTGCAAACGCACTTTAAATAAGTTCCCTAGACCATTTTGATACAAGTCTCTTTCCACCTCATCTCATTCCCAAGAAAATAGTGCCAAGGTGAGATTATTGCTATTATAGTGGCCAGTTTTTCTTAACCTTAGTACCAACACAGATGTTTGGCAGAGGACTTAGGTATCTGTTAATTTTAAAGATGTTTGCAAAGCTGATTGTGAGAACAGTGGTTCTAAAAGTATACAGGTCCAACAGCATCTAAATCACACCTAATGCTCTTTACTAAATAAAACTAAGAATTCTAAGGTGTTAGTCCATAATCAGAGTGTCAGAATTTAACAACTGCAGTACAGAAATCTGTAATTTTAACACATTTTCTAGTCATTCTTAAGACCAATAATACATTCTGAAGTTTGACAATCAATATCCTTTAGTTTCTTGGTCTTTTCTAATCATCAATCTTTATTTCCATTTCTATTGGAAAATTTACTTCCATATTTATACTCTGGGCCTCCATTTTTGGAATTTCAATTTGTTCCACTATCAAAATCTAATGAGTTTTCACCAAACCACACCTTCTGCCCATCTATCTCTCCTTTTAAGACTGTTGTTTTTGTTTACTTTTTAGCTTGGTGCAGTGATACACAACACATATAATCCCAGCTTGCTTTTTTTTTTTTTTTTTTTTTTAGATAGGCTACGTTGTTCAGACTGGCCTTGAACTTATTATGTAGCCCAAGCTGGTCTCACACTTACAGAGACCTTCCTGCCTCTGCCTCTGCCTCAACAAGTGCTGGGATTACAGTTATATACCACCAACTTCCAGTGGGATAATTTTTGATGCCAGCCTGGACAACTTAGCAAGATTCTGTTTTAAAGTAAAAATAAAAAGGGTTTTGGGATTAAAAAAAAAAAATGGGCTTAATGGTGAAGACCCTGCTGGACTAACATGCAAAAAGTAACACTCCCCTACACTCGCACACACAGGCTTTGTCATCATCACGGTCTCCAGGTGATTAGACCTGTCCTACCTAAGGAACATCTGACCCCACAATCAACGACTCAGGCCGGTATTATTCTCAGTACCACTTATCCCCTCATCTTCTGTTAGTGGGTACAACTCCCAATGTTTCTATCATTTTTTCCCCATCTCAAGATTAGGGAACCTTATCTAAAATCATACCCTCTCAATCCTCCCAGCACTTGATGTATGATTATACCTCATTGTTTTCTACCCTCTACAATAGTCATTTAAACATATTCTATCTCCTCCAGTAAACTCCATGGACTTGGTCAATAGGGTCTATGTACAACTGTATCTTGGTTTCTCCCCAAGATACCAACATGCATAATGTACCCTTCCTTCTGCAGCATTGAAAGTGGTTATAAAGAATAATTATTTTTTAAGTGAGAGGCCACTATAGCACTACCTCTTGTATTTTAAACTGTCTGGCTCAAATCTAATGTCCTATCACCATTTAGATATCAATATCCATTAAAATTGCTGCACAGAAAAAACTTTTTAGTTTTTTGTTTCTATTTTTGTTTTTCTGTACTAGGAACCGGACTTAAAGAAAACACAGTATTAACCCTTTCTACTACAAACTCTGTAGCCTCCCTTACCCCAAGGGGAACAGAAAAAGAGAATGTCCTTTGTATAAATATCACTCTTATTAATGCTACCTGTTAAAAAATCAAAATTTCCCCTAAAAGTACCTAATTTGTCCCTTTAAGTCAATGAAGACTAAACCACAATTAGCCATTACCTATATGTAGATTATTTTTTTCTTGAAAACATGCTAAGTAAGCCAGGTGTGGTATACACCTGTAATTCCAGCACTTGGGAGGCTGAGGCAGGAGAATCATTACAAGTTGGAGATCAGCCTAGGCTACAAAGTGAGCTGAAAGCCAGCCTGAACTGCACAGCGAGAGCCTGTCTCAAAAAGACAAAATTTTAAAAATTTTTTGTTTTTAAAAACATGCTAAGCTTAACAGAGCTGTGTGAATGCTTTCAGTTATCAAGAAAATAATGAAGGCCTGAACCATGGAAGAAAAACATGGCATTTGTAAAATATTAATTGTTTCATACAAATGAATTTTAAGGATGATAAAGCACTAACTAAAAACTAGGGGCCACATTCATAGTCTTGGAAATATTAAAAATGAATTGCTACACTTACATGCAAAAACACATACATGCAAAGAAAAAAATTTCAAATGGAAAATGAAAGCTTTTTTAGTTGGTGAGAGTATCAATTCCTTTATGATCTCTAAAGTATTACTTTTAGTATTTTTACAAAGGTATTTATTTGTATAAATTTTTATTTGAAGGTTAATACGTGTTCACAGTAGAATATATACAAATAGAACTAAAAACCTACCTGTAATTTTATCATCCAAAGACAATTATTAGCAAATATAGAAAAACATGACTATAAATACAGGCATAAGACATACGTATTTTGTGAAGAGAGATACTATATAGTTCTAATGACATTCTTTCATCACCTTTCAATCAAGAACACATACTTGCTGTATTGTATTTTACTTGTTGGCTGGACAGAAAAAAACAAAAGGAAAATAAAGCCAACTGCTACATGTTCAAATTTCTTTGCTAAATAAGCTAACACATCATTTAAACGTATAAAGGAAGAAAAAAAGTCTTTTGAGAAATATTACCTTAATTTTATAGATGAGGAAGCTTAAAGAAGTTAGTAATTTGTCTGAACTCAACAGTTAATAAAAAAGTCAAGATGAGTACCTAAAGTCATTGCAAAGCTCCTTCTCTTTCTAATACAGTGTTGTCTCAGCTTCTTAACTATAAAATGGACTTGCCTATTTTATTCCACACAACACTGGCACTGAACAGAATGAGGCATCAAAGTACTAGTGCAGAGGTGTGAGGGACTATTACAACGCCCCTGCCCGGAATAGGGGCACAGCACACTGCAAGGCTTTGGCACGGAGCTCTCACCTATGATGTAATGTTAGGTTGATGGTTCCATATTTAATAAAGACAATGTGGCAAATAATATCACAATTTTTTGTTACCATAACTTAATTTAAATATTTTAAAGAGAAGGCCTTCAAACAGTTTTGAAACCTTTAAAGAAGGCTACACTATTTTAACTGTCACAAGACTATAAATTAGATTATTATCATAAAACCTGTTTTTTTTTTTTTGAGAGGATATATACTATTGAAAAGAATGCTCTGAAGTAAGAACCACTATTCTAAATGCATAGTCATTTTTTATTTTTTATTTTTGGTTCCGGGGACAAACTCACGACCTTGTGCTTACCAGCCAGGCACTTAAACCACTGAGCTAAATCCCCAGCCCTTAGTCATTATATTTTTTAAAATTATGAACACTCATTGTGTTATTTTTTTTCCAGAAGGAAGCACAGTAAAGTCCGAAAGATTTTCCAAATTAAACTTATATCTGACATAGCATGTTTCTAATTGTTATTAATGTAGTGTTTTTAATCTTCTCCAATTATATCATTTCTTTGTTTGTTGATACAAGATCACACTCTACTCCATGCTGGCCTTGAACTAAGTCAGAGACGGCCTTAAACAGGCAATCCTCCTGCCTCAGCCTCCCACGTGCTGGGATTATGAATGCGCCTGCCTCATAGGGCTGCTTCTGCATTTCTGGTCTTTCTCTCTCTTTTGTTTAAATTTATAACAATAACTTACAGTCAACATACAAAGTTATCCTATGTTTTTAAAACCGATAAAAAATAAATTCTTTTTAACATATTATAGAACACTAAAAGTCACAGTTAAATATGGCAATCAGTTCCAATCACTTTCAACACAACTTGCCAAGTCCAAATATTACACAATTGTCTGTACCTACCTTAAATTTTCATTAAACCGTACTGTAGCTGCACAATGGAATATAATATTAGTAGAATCTACGATGACCTCTTTATCTTCTTCACTAAGAGCCAGTTTAGGTTGAGTGAGTTCACTGTTGATTGCTACAATTTTCTCTCTAAAATCTGGATTTTCATCTCTCAATCTGTCAAAGAGCTATCAAAAAGGAGAAATGTTTATTTCTTTTCCTGATATTTTTCCATTTTCTAAAACCCATTATACATCCTTTCCCCACCAAGAAGGCTATTTTAACAACTTCTGTTATACAACACTTAAAGTTGCTCTTCCTAGAGAAAACATCCTATAGGGCTCACATTATCATTCCTTTTTACAGATACAGAATCTAAGACTCAAAGAGGTCAGGCAGTTTGCCAAGGACAGAGAAGTGAGAGTTTGCAGTTAAATACAAACTTTACATGTTCTGTTTAATTAGATTATTTCTCAGTGTAGACTTAGGCAATATGTCAAGACAATATTTTAAAATGATCACTCAGATTTCTAAACTCTAGATTTCAATTTGTCACTTTATTTCATTTTAGTTTTGTATCTTTTTAGAAAAATAAAATACTATTAAATATTCAACCTAACATCTTAAAACAAAATTTTTATAATGAAAAGAAGTAAATATCTAGACTAGAAATTAAACTTTGAAAAAAATATATATATAGGCTTTAGCTAAAAATGCAACATCTTTTATACCTAAAGAAATAAATTTTGCTGGATAACCATCTGGATCACAATATGAGTGCCAAGGTACATCCAATTATAAACCGAGTGTTAGTTTATTTATGCCAGACTTAACAGAGCCACACTTATGCTAACTACAGTTCCACCACACTGTGACTCTCCACTCCAATTATAGTCCATTCTTGAAGTCTTACGAGATTCTTAATCTGGAAAGATATCTGTATATTATAAACAAAGCCCTCTTCCAACTTCCTAAACAACTTTCATATTTAACAGTCTCTCCCCCTTTTCTATTTCTAGTTACTTAAACACTAGTGTCTTATTTTAAAAATTTTACTAAACATTTCATATTAGCCAGGTACTTCTATACTGTGAAACAAGGAAATGAAATAGACTTTCAAGATGTTTACAGTCTAGTATTAAAAACAAGTTAAATGGACATTAAAACATAGTGTTACAAATAATAAAACAGGATTAACAATATGGACACACGACCAATACACACAACTTCTCAGAGGAAATGACCCTGAAACTGGAATCTGAAGGATAAAACACACGTGTGTGTGTGAACAATGGGGACAAAAGTGAAGGAAAACGGCCCTGAAATTATAAAGCAGAAGACTAGTGTTCCAGAATACCATGAGAAGAAACTTTAGAGATTTAGGAAGTAACATCAATTGGACCTGGCCAGGGACCAGACTTGAGGGAACAGGGAAATAAATGTTTTGCTCAGTCCATAGGCCCTAACTAGCATAATGCCTGGAAAAGATACAGGTTTGATAAGTGAAAAACCTCACTGATTGCAGTTTTGAAGAGATGACTTCAATCTCATGAATGCTGAGTGTAAACTGTCTATATGCCACTGCAGAGGTGGAGGCTTCGTGGGTCTAAAAGTTCAATGGGCAGAGCACCAGAACCTATGGTTTTACTAACCACAGCAGTTTAATTACAGCAGCAGTAACTAAAGCCCTGAGACCAGAAGAGATCATCAGATAAAAACAAAATTAGCACCCAAAATCAAAACTCTTTGAAGCAATTTCCAAATCTAATTTAAAAGGTAAACATCTAACTCAGAAGTGCTGAGTGACCGCCCCACTGGACCTACTAAGAAGAATGCAAGAAGAGAAACCTGAAAGTATTAATATTTAAGGTACAAGCAGAGAAAAAGGAACACTTTGAGTTCATACTTCTCCTCATGATGACCACTACCACTAGGAGATATATGGTCATGCTGCTTCATAAGCTAGATCTCAAACTTGATCCTGTTCCTCTTCCTAGCTACCATCTCTATTCAGTATCATTTTTCCCAGTGATTCTAATATATCAGTACTATAACTCATTTTTTAGTAAGTTCACTGCCTTTTGAGTATCTTTATTGCTTTTCCAAAATTCACTTCATGATCAACTATTTTATTTTATTGTATTCTGTGGAGCTAGGGATCAAATCCAGGGCCTTCCACACACTAGGCAAGTGCTCAACTGTTGAGCTACGTGTACTTCAGCCCATGCTCAATGATTTTAATTCCACCCCCACCATCCAGGGAGGGGGTAGTGGCCAGTGGTAGAGGCCAGGAAAACACATAGGATAGTCCCACTATCCGCCCAAAATGTCAATGGTACTGAAGCTGAGAAATCCTGCTACAAATTAATGTTTCACTACAGTACATAATCTTTGCTTATGTTCTTTATTACTGTTTCAAAATCACAGTAGGAATTTCTTAAGCACACACTCAATGTTACTTGACAAAAAAAGACTCATTTTTACTGATTCACCCACAATGCAATACCTGGCAAAAAAAATGGTCTCAGGATTGAGCAGCAGAATATGCCAGGAGAAAACTGGAGGTGCAAGCAGTAAGTATATTAGTTACCTTTGAATTGCTGGGACAAATTATCTGATATACACAACTTAAAGTTTTATGTTTAGCTTAGTTTCAGAGGACTCAGTCCATGATCACCTGCTCCAAGGAAGAGACATTCTGATGGAAAGGCACTGTGGAGCAAAGCGGCTCATTTCACTGCAGCCAGGAAGCAGGGAGTGCAATAAAGAGCCAGAGAAAAGATAACCCCCTTCAAAGGCACACCTAGAGTCACTGATGCCCCCAGTAATTATTTCCTCCAACTAGTCAACACTTTTAATAGCCCATTCAGTCACAAACTCTTTAGTGCGTTAATCCATTGCTGAGGTTACAGCCTTAATGATCCATTCAGTTGCTCAAAGTCCATGAGTTCTTAACACATGAGACTTTGGGAGAACATTTATACATCTAAAGCATAACATAGGGCTATCATTTTAGTCAAGGATTTGGGGGCAAAACATTTTTATATTGCAAACAACAGTCATATGTTCACTAAAATTTCAGGCTTTAAGCATAAAACACCCATTTTCTTTACAAAGAAGACTTATTTGAAGGAAATTTTAGAAGCACTGCCCTAGAAATCTCAGTGCAGACACAACTCTTATATTTCACGCTGGCCCTTTGTTCTCTACACCAACATTTCTCAGGCCTTCTAGTCTACACCAAGATTACTCTGGCCCTCCATTCCTAACCAAAATCACTCAGGATGTATATTCCTACACCAAGCATACTCAAGCCCACCATTCCTACACCAAGAATACTCAAGCCCTCCACTCCTATACCAAGAGTATTTATTCAGCCAGTGCTCTGTTCCTACCAAGCCATCAACTAACTGCTCCTGTCCAATTCCCTCAACACTTCTACATTCCATTCCTTCCCTCGCCCTTCCTGAAATTCTCTAGAAGGCAAAGACTCTGTATCTTATCTATCCCTAAATTCAATGCCTTGTGTGAAATCAAATGCCCAAAATTAAATAGGAACAATAAATGTTTTCTTAAAAATAAATGAAACTGAATCCCTCAGTGGTGGAATGAGATGTTGGGAGAGGTGCTACCACATCCTTACCAGTGGTTCCCAATACAATGACAAGACTGGTAAACAAAGGATAGAGAAGGCAACAAAACTCACATGTAGTATTTTTACTTAGAAAAGCTCTGATGGTTGTACAATCTCCTCAGTTACTCCTTTCTCGTAAGTCTGGTTTGGTTTGGCTTGGTTTGGTTTTTTAAGGCATATATTTGTAGTACATTCATTGCTGGTACTTGGTAGATGTGCATTCCTTTTATGTCCCTACCCTCTGGTCATCTCCACACTTGAAAAAGCTCTATTTTCCTGTTTCCTATTGTCTTATCTTTTATTTTGCTCCTTAAGTAATTTCTACTTTGAGTTTTTCATAGGTAAAGGATTCTCAAAAGGGCACAACAAAGAATAAAAAAATACACAGTTAAGGGAGACTAATGTAGACTAATTTGAGTACTTATAAAGGATAGGATAATTTCTAATTATAAAGGATAGGATAATTTCTAAATTTCCGAGAAAGATTCTTACATTCTAGGATTAATAAATAAAACCAATATAACTAACATTTGCCACATCCTGTCAAAGATATGATAATGTGACAGAACAAATAGTTCCAATACTCTGAGTTCCTTCAAAGTAAAACATTTGACTGGTTGCTCTAGAGGGGTTTTCCACAATCTGAGGTTTTTATTAGCTGGCTTACAAAAATTTAGATACTCATATTTCACCTTGTTCAAAAAAGAATACCATAACAAAATTCCTTTTTTTTTTGTCATTTTCTTTTTTTTTATCGGTACCAGGGACCTAACTCACGACCACATACTTGCAAGGCAGGCGCTTACGCCACTGAGCTAAATCCCCAGCCCCAAAATTCCTTTTGGACAGATGCCTGCAGCATACCAAAATCAAGCTCAAGAGATTCCCAACCCAAATTCAGAATTAATGAAAGTCAGATAAATTCATTCATTTCGAGAGAATTTACAAGCTCATTTACTCTGGCTCATTTCATTTTTCTTAGCAGTATTTTTCTAAAGACTCAAAAGTATATTGACATCTTACATACTTCTCTGTCATCGTTCAAATATTGTCTTTCAAACATGACTTTTCTATCTCTTAAAACTGTTAAGAGAAGAGCAACTATGGTCCTTATAAATTTTAAAGTGTTATCAAAGCCCAGTATCTCACAGCACAGAAGGTGTTTCAAAGCTACCTAATTATTATCTGAAGATGATTCAAACCACTACAAATAACCTATCTCAAGTGTTCCAAAAACATACTTTAAGTGTTTATCATAAAGGTAATTTAAAACTTATGAGAAAATTCTACCATTAGAGAAAGAAGCTGTATTTTTCTCCTACTGACTGAATCCATCCTGTAGCAACTTAATAAAAAAAAAAAAAAAAAAAACTTTACTAATTTGTATCAGGCTACTGAGGAATTGCACTAACTTTGTAATGCTTACCATTATTATAGGTAAAAGCACACATTTTTTCCTCCTCTGCAAATGATCATTCCCCACTTACCTTGCTACTAAGGATTTCTTCCATTCGCTCTTGGGGTGTCTGTCCAGCTTTCTGCCTTACCAAAACATACACTGAATTCACCTTAGGACAAGATCTCAGCAACTTTTCCAGAAGTACCTTTCCTAGAAAACCAGTAGCTCCTGTAAGAAGAACATTCTTCCCTTCGTAGTATTCTGGGATTGAAACCATTTTGACCCTAAGAAAACATGACAAAGTATTAGCTCAAGGATTTATGCTCATTCTTAGTAGAAATTTCTTGGTATTCATATACATTAAGTATTATAAAAGAGAGGCAAAAAGTCAGCATCAGCATTAACAACAGAGGACCTAATCTCTGGTTCAATGTAGGAAAGCGGGAAACAAAAAAAAAGTTATTCTAACCTTGTGAAAATTTCCTTCATCTCAGACAAGTAACTCACCTTTTCTGGGCCAACTTTTCTTTAGCAGTTTGTGCTAAAATTCCTTCCAGCAATAACCCAAATCTTTACTCAACCTTTGTTAAACCTTAAACACAACTGAATGGTGTTTCTGTCCCCAAAGGAATTTATAACACCAACACAGGTCAGCAGTAAGACTCTACTGCCTACTTGTGTAACACTGCTAGGTGTCGTATTTACCTATCCATCATCAGTTGAAACAAGAATAGGTAACAGCAAATCTTTTCTCCTACATGTCAGATGGTGACAATATATTCAAAAGGTGTTTAAATTTCTCCTTTTAAAAGACATGGTAAAAAATGCACACGATAACTTCTTCCTACTCAAATTACACTGAAACACTAGAAAAGATACACTAAGAAAACAAAAGACCACAGTGAACCAAAAACCACCAAAATGATGCATGCATGTATGTTACTAAGACTAACACACAACAGAAACAATGCTCTGTACTGTTTAGAAGGACAGAATATTGAGATGCTTGAAAAGAGTAAGGAGCTTCAATTATATTTCAGTTTTATTTACACTGGAGAGTAGATACATGTGTTTTATGCCTAAAATTTTCAAAATTTCAAAAAATTTCTAACAATCTGAAAACAAGAATAACTCCAATAAATGAGCAAAAAGGGATCCGGGTCAGGGAATAATGTAGAAGAATTTCTAGAAGAAAAACAGGCTGAGCGGACAGAGAACACACAGTAGACTGAACAACCCAAGCAAAACATAGGAAAGGACTTCTATAAGGAAACAAGAGTTCCCTTTACCAATCGCTAGAGCCTGAGGAAAAAAATCTCAAATCAGGACAAAGAAACTGGATTAAGAAATCAAGGCAATTAAGATGTTGCTCACAGAACTGAACATCACTTATGAGTCTTACTTTCTGTGTAAATGACTCCAGGCTTACACCCAAATGTGCAGGCAGACACTGCTAAGGACAAAAGAGAAGTAAGGCTAACCCTGAAATTGCTGCAACACCCACAAAATGGGGAAGTCTGGATGAGGAGAGAGGAAATAAAACTGAAGAGGAAGCCAGGATCAGCTACCAAAACTAACTACCCTAGGCCTTCATGAATGAGATTTTACCAAGGATCACTATTCAAGAATTATAGATGGCGCCAGGCGTGGTGGCACACATCTGTAATTCTAGCACTCAAGAGGCTGAGGCAGGAGGACCACCACAAATTCGAGGCCATACTAAGCTATAAAGTGGGTTCAAGACTGAAATTTTTGAAAAAGAAATCAAACGAACCAAAGTCAAAACCAATTTAAGATAATGAAAAATTTAAAGTCTTAATAAATATCCTCCAAGCCATTTACAAAAATAATGCACTCTTATAATAATATTACTCAAAACACCAAGAGGGACAAAGAACAGCAAAGCATTTGGAAATCAGCAAATTCAAATACAGGCAAAAAATCCAATGAACATAGTAGAATTACAAATTCAACAAGTTCAATAGATATAAAGTTTATATGAAAACTATATTTCTATATATACCAGCAACAGAGAAAGAAGTTTTTAAAAAGCCTACTATCCCACTTCCACTACCACCAGAAACACCAAAATTACAGACAATAACAAGTACTGCCAAAGCATTAGAAAAATTAGAACCCTCTAATGCTACTGTAAAGTAGCATTAGATGTAAAGTAGTGCACAGGCTTTGAAAAATAGATCGGTAGTTCCTTAAAAAGTAAAATCTTGTTGCATTGTTTGATCATTTTTTTTAATGCCTTGGTCTTGTAACCTGAACAAGTATTTCTAAGATAATATGCGATATATTAACAAGTGTAAATTTCCTATTTTAAAAAAATTCTTTATCATTTCTATCCTTTTTATTTTGCTTTTTAAAATAAAAAAAAAGTGAAACCTAACATTATCAAATGACCCATCAATTCCAGTGTTAAGACACACATTGCAAAGAATTAAAATTGTTCAACAAGCTGACACAGGTTTGTACCAGCACTGTACTGAGGTTTTGTGTGTGTGTGTGTGTGTGTGTGTGTGTGTGTGTGTGTGTGTTGCTTTTTGGGTTTTTCTGGCATTACTACAGATTAGCCCTAAAGCCATACAATACTTGCTAGGCAAGCTCTCCACCACCGAGTTACATATATCATCAGCCTGGCTGCACTTGTCTTAATCACCAAATAGCACAAATAGCCTACATGTCATTCAACAAGATTAAGTAATTAAACTGTGGCAAATACATACAGCAGAAAATATTCAGCCTTAAAAAGTCTTGACACACTACAACATGGATGAGTCTCAAAAACATCAAATGAAGAAATCAGACCCATAAGACCACAAACTGTTTGATTCCATTTATATGAAATATCCAGAATCAGTATCTGGATAAATCCATAAACAAAGAATGCAGATAAGCGGGGAAGTAGAAAGAAACTGCTTAAAAGGTTTTATTTTAGAGTAACTAAAATGTTTCTGAATAGAGGTGGTAGCTTCGTATCATGAATGTACTAAATGCCAATGAGCTGTTCCTTTTAATGGTGCTATAGTTTGAATGTGTCCCCTCCAAAATTCAACTGCTGCTGCAATATGGTTTTAAGAGATGGAGGCCTTTAAGAAATGAACAGATCATAATGGCTCCAGAATAACTGCTGGATGAGGTACAGACTCACTTAGGAAAAACACTATCACCTACTACAATTGAACATCTACTGCTGGTCGAAGTGTGGGCTTACTTAGGAAAACAAAACGGTCATATTATCCTAAGGCCCAGCCATTCCATTTCTAATTATTTACTCACCCAGCTTAGTATACACGTTCACCAAACACTGAAAAACAAGTATGGTTATTCAGAATTATCCCCATTACCCAAATATTAAAAGCAACCCAACTGTTTGACAATAACATATTGTACAAACTATAGTACATTCACATAATGGAATATTTAAAATCAATAAACTTGAAGAAACTATTGCAACACACAACATGGATGTATCTCACACACTGGACAGACCAATGAGGCCAGGTACAAAGAGTATATTCTATTTGATGCCATCTACATGAAGTTCAAAAATGGGCAAAATCTATCGACAGCTCAATGTCAGAATGATGGACCTTGGATGGAATTTGTGAAGAAGGCTTCTGTGATATTATAATATTTTATTTTTTAATCTGGATGACTCATATATCTAAATCATCCAGGACCTTTTAATCTTTTGGGTTTTCTTTCCCTCCAACAATCAAGGATCTATTGTTGATGCATGTGATTGGCTTAAATTCTAAACTAAAACAAAACCGTAACTGCGTACTCATACACTTTCTTCCTTCATTTTTCAGAACACTGCCCTACCAAAGCCTAACACCAAAACTATTAACACTAAATGGCAGAAAACTCTTACCAAACAATTCTCTTCCTCAAGCTTAACAATATAAAGACTGCTTATAGGATGAAAGTCTTCTTACAAGTCTCAGGCAACTAGTTCAAGTTATTTACATGTGACTTTACACTACTAAAATGACTTAATTTCCTCCATGAAGAAAAAAAATCAATTCCCACAACTTAACCACAGTACCACCAAAAATCTTATGAACACTGAATATTTTTAAACCCTGTCTCTAGAAACTCTTGGTTTTCCCAATCCAATCACGATCACCCTACCAACTTACTGGCAAAACCAATAAAAATGAGTCTTCCCTTAAGGGAAGTGCAGAGATTTCACATCTTAAGACATTATCTTCCTAGTATACACAGAAGCTACTGGAAAAACAAAGCCAAAAAAGGAATGCTGTCAATTCTCTCAGAGCATGCTATTCAGGATTCTGCCACAGACTACAAGAGCTAAAAGCTTCTAACAACTATTGACAAGTAGACGCAGTACTAAAATACTGAAGAGAAAAAACCCACTGTTACCAAGTGAAGACTTGGAAAGGAGTGGACACCTAACAGGAGCATTAGATATTTTCTCCACAAGGCACTGGATTCTCTGGTTCAAAAGTGGAGCAGAAACTTTTCTTCACAAAGCCTACCAAAATGCTAAACACCAACCCCAGCATGAGAGTGCACACCTCTAATCCCAGTAGTCTGGGAAGCTGAATGAGACCTTGACTTTAATCATTTTTGAGAATGACTGCAAATTCAAGCCCAGCCTAGGCAATTTAGTAAATCCTCAAGACCTTGTCTCAAAATGTAAAGGAGGAATGGATGTAGTACAGTGCAAAGAGCTTAGGTTGAATCCCCAGGACAGTTAAATTACTAAATACCAACTAGCAAATAACCACTATTAGTTTCACAGAATTCATATAGGCTACTTTACAAAGGTTTTCCCAGTGACGGTAGAGTACTTTTCATACAGTTCCATTTACAACTAAATTAGAAGAAGAAAAAGCTACTTGATTAAGATATATTTACTTGCTAAAAGTTCAAGTCCAGACTCTGCCACTTAGAAGCCATGAGATCTTAAAAGTAGTACTATTTCGAACCTGCTTCCCTTTTTCTAAAAAGAAGATATGTAAGTCTTATGAGCAAATAGTCTATAAAAAAATGGTCACAAATGGAGAACCAGAGAACTTCTAAGGTAGCACCCCACAAAATATAAACTGCACCTTTTAACTATATTCACTTAAATGTCCTAACTTAGTGGAAGTCTAATCACATTGTCTTATGAATTTACAAAAATGTGATTCAAATCAAAATCTTCTCTCGTCTTCAATTTATTTTATTTTATTTTATTTTATTTTATTTTATTTTATGGTACTGGGAATCAAACTCACAACCTTGCACTCATCAGGCAGGTATT